TCATTGTGACCATTTTGCGCACCACACTTGAGCCGCACTGCGTCACAGTGACGTTTTTAATACCACTGCTAGATACTAACTAAACGAACAGAGTGTGGTGCACTTGTAGAACGTAGAATATACGCGGACTGGTGCATTTATTATGGTCATAAAAAGAAAATAGTAAAAAACGAAGTCAGTACCGAAGTGAATATGTTAGTGTAAAACTTTGATGCTATTGGTGTCCGTATTGGTGGCCGCCGCTGTCGATAGGTTACAGGTTTGGTGTCTAGGTTCGATTCCTGGTCTAATCAACATTCAAAAAGATTTTTATCTTAATGCAGTAGCCCCTCAGCAGAAAATACCGAACCTCCGAGTATACTTCTGTCATGAAAACGTTCCTCATAAAACACAATCTACGGTTCGTAGGCGACGTAAAACTGTAGCTATCTTATGAAAAGGCGCACACTAGAAATTGGAGGATAAGCTCGGACCAATGCTTGACATAATGCGCTTTTTTTGTTAATCGGTAGCAGTGTTAGCGATGTTTGCGATTGCCTTTACGTTGAAAAGTTCTAGGAGTAAATAAAATCGCAAAAGCATACAAATTACAAAAAAAGTAGCGAGTACAAAAAATAATGGTGTTAAAAAACTCCGATGCTCAGCGAGTGTTCAGCGAAAAAAAAAGTACAGCGTAATAGACAGAACTTCTCAATGTGTATTTGGAAGTGTTTCCACACCAGGAGGCGAATTGGAAAGTACGAGTATGGCTAAATTACGCAACACATAGTAGGTAGTGCGCACGCCAAATCTCATGGAATATTCTGTATTTTATTGACATACACCAGAGGCACATTCTGGTCGGCAACAACAACAGCAACAGAAGCACTAGTAGCAAGTAGCTAGCTGGCCAACAAGTCAGGGAGTTCGTTTCAATAAGCCAACGGATGTAAAAAAAAGTGGCATGCAGAACATTTGAGATAGAAAAAATTACACATGGCAGTCAGTGCGAACGGCCCTCGCCCAAGTTGGTCGCGGTCGCTTGTGCTGTATCAATTAAACGTGTCTGTTGAAATTTAACAGCGCTGAGACTATCTGGCGCCCAATCGTATATCGTACACAACCACCATCACTACAAAAAATTGATTGGAGAAATTTCCAGCGAAATATTACTAGAACGGTTTTTTTAATTGGCAGCCAATAAGTGAGGGGGTTTTTATTTTTTATGCTTTTTTTTAATTCTTTCATACATACAAACATCTATATGTACTATGTGCATTGTTTTTTTATTTGAGAACTTTTCTTTAAGGTCTGATAGCGCACACTAAATACAAATGTGCATAACAATATACTACATATCGCTCATTTAGGTTAGGTTGCCAAACCATAAGAAATGAACTATGGTCATTATTGATTTATTTGGCATCACTTGCTATTTTCATCGCTTATTTTGGTCAAGCACATTCGTTCTAAGTGGTGTTAAATTCTAATATCAAACAACAATGGTCAGATTTTAGACTTAAATAACCTGTCGTCGTAAGGAAATTTCCTTAAGGTTACCATTACTGGTTGCAGTTTCTGGATACGTACAGCAGCGATCATAATAATAGTAGCAAAATTCAAAATGATATTAATTGCAACTCCTTATTTATTGATTTTTAATAATTTGCATAAAATATAGTTCGATCTATAACAGAAAGCACAGAAATAAAAATTTCAAAAATTGCACAATGTTCACAAAAATGAATCAAACTTCAAACAATTGTCATCAAAATTTAAAACTTTTTGTTCAGAAGGTTTAGAGAATTTTCGAACGCAGTTTTGCAGCCCATTCAATTTTAGTATAATAAAGTGCAAGTTTCAAGTCACTAAAAATTACCGTTGATTTTTAGAATTTTTTTGTCGAGGGTGTTGCGCATTTTCTTCTATATAAAAATAGATTTTGTTCATACATATGTACGTTAGATGGAAGAAAATGCTGAACACCCTCAACAAAAAAAAAAAACTAAAAAATCAACCGCACTTTTTAGTGACTTCAAACTTGCCCTTTATCAAGGCGAATTAATATAAGGTGATAGCAGGAGTACAAAAACAAAAATTTGCATGTATTTTGTTTATGCTTTGGCGGCATAAACTGTCAAAATCTGTAAGAGTGTGTGTAGAAATTCAAACAAAATTTTTCAATTTGATATCAGAAGCCGTGCGGCGAAACACATACACAAAATCAGCTGAGCTAGTAACACCACCTTATATAAATTCGCCTTGCCCTTTATTATACTTAAATTGTATGGGCTACAAAACTGCACACTCCAAAATTTTCTAGACATTCTGAATAAAAAGTTTGTAATTTTCATGAAAATTTTTTGAAGTTTGATTCATTTTTGCGGCCTTTTTGTGTCATTTTTGAAATTTGTATTTTTGTCGTTTCTGTTATAGATTCTGTTATAGATCAAATGAAAATTATTAAAAGAAGATAAACAGGAGTTGCAAACAATATCATTTTGAATTTTGCTTCTGTTATTTTGACCGCTGCTGTAGTTGCGACTGCTACTTTATCCTTTGTCACAGTCTGTTACGGTGACTTTTTGAAAGTTGTCGCAGCAGTTACCCATCACTTTTGAGTAACCGTGACAAAGTCAGCCTTACTGCGTGAATACCAATTGGACCGTGAACCGCTAAAACCTCCCCCAAAATTAAAAGCTGTGGCTTAGTAAGTGTAGGGAGTACCCCCGACCGCCCCAACCAACCCTTGGCCAGAGGGAACTTCTATCCAAGAGTGTACCACAAGTGATCAATTACACCCGCAGCTGCTCTTTATCCGGCGATAACGTTTCAATAGTACCTTTCCTAGCCGATTCGTCAGCCACACAGTTCCCCGCTATGTCGCTGTGACCCGGAACCGAAATGAGCCTAATACAGAAGTATTCCGACGCAACTGAAAGAGAGAGCAGACATTCCTTAACCAAATTAGAGGGCTATCAGAATAAATTCCCATCCCCCTAACTCTTCCGCCTGAAATACACTGCCCCAGTCCGGAAGCCTGAACTTAGTACTGATGCAAAGCTCTCGGCAGAAGACCCCTCCAACCGTGAAGAAGTTCACTGCTCCCCCTCTCCAGAGTGAGCGAAGAATAAGCTCATAGGGCGTTTTCGAACCGGCTGCCGAGATAGGTCGATCTTCCACTCAGCCGTCGGACTTAGCAAATTTGCCTTTCAATGAAAATAAACGAGAAGAAATAAAACTTAGTATCTTAATGCTTTTTGAAACGATGTATCTTTAATTTCTCTTGCTTCCTATATAAGAATATGAGTTTACATAAAAAGTGGTCTTAGCAACTTTACACTCTGTAGATGCCTCTAACACCTTCCATTGCTGTTCTTTTTGGCCACTTTGGACGAAAGGGGCTTGAAATATTTTACTACTAAACTTGAGTGCGCTATGCTTTCATCTAAATTTGAGGTAGTATTTTTATGACCGAATGTGTAAATTTAGAAACAATAGCCGTCATCGATTCGCCACTTCTCGCTCGCTATGTTTGAGTTCCGGTCGCTTAAAGAAAAATTTTGCATGTAAAAGCAACAACAAAGTTAGCTATCACGGATAGACGATAGCGAGTTTGGCTGTACCTCATTGAGTTCGTTCGTTTCGCCACTCGCTAACTGTTGGCGAATCGATGGCGGCTAATGTATACATCGAATTGTTGTCTTCAGGGATCCATAATAGAATTAAGCGAGCAATTTGTTTGCAAAAAAAGCTTAACCATCTATCTCCTTTTATTATGGACCTTTTGACCTTCATTTGCCGAAGTTTTTTATAAACGGTAGTTAGCGGGTTAAAGTGTTCTAGCATTACAGATTGTCAATGAAAAAACCTAAAATTTCACCAAAATTTTAAGATATATGATTTTAGAACGATGTTGCGATCTAATCTAAAATATTACTAATTTGAAGTCCCTCTAGTTGAAAGGAACTAAATCGTTTAGGAAAAAAAACGTGGTTTAAAAACTTGTGCAATTTTTATACACATACATAAGTACTTGTACGTGACTTCATATACTCAAAGGAGTTTATGTATGTTTACGCGTTTTCGCATATACATATTTTTATGCCATAAAAATTTTCAATTAACGCCGGAAGTTGATGAAGAATTATGGCATTTTCTGTTTATTCCGCTCCGAACAAATTGTATGCCGCATTTGTATTATATTTGTTCTTGTTGTTGGCTACTTTTTTGTTTTTAAATTGTTTTGCCGACCATCGCCAATCAGCATTGGTAAACAAATGAAAATGTATACGAATACAAAACAAAAAACTGCAACAATAACAATTACAATATATACAATGGGAAAAGTGCGCTGATGAAAACGATGAAAATTATAAAAACTATTGCATTGTATTTCAGCGTAGAGGCGAATTGAAACACGGAATATGAGTCCAGTAGATGCATGCCGGTGTGCTGCACAGATAATACGAGTACTATGTATACTAGGTATGTATGGAGTTCTAGATGTGCATGCAACAGTGCATATAAATGTGTGTATACTCACTGTATGGTGATTAAAACATTAATGCCGGACAGCACAACCATGGGTAACAAGCAATAGCCAAGCACGGAGACCACAGCACCGAATGTTACTTGCGCCTGTGTTGCCATCAGCGATAGCAGACAATAGAAGGCGATACAGCCCATCACACCAATGCCATAAATGTACGAAAATGTTACTTTGCCGCTCTGCGGAATGGGGAATCAGCCAACATAACCAACGTCAGCCAACACCATCAGCGTTACAACACCGCACACATTTACCACAATGATAGACACACAACGCATGACACGGCGAAACAGGAGATTGGCTTTGTTGGTTGGTTGGTTGAATGGAAGATGGTTGTCGTGTGATGAGTGAGCAACCAGCGCCAGGACAAAGGTGATAGAGAATGGGTCATTGTTCGGTTGGTTGTTGCAGGTGTGTTAGATATAATCATCATTATTATTATGGTTGTTGTTGTTGTTGTGGTGGTCCATTCGATCATTCATTTATTCGTTGTTGTTGTGGTCATAGAGCATCGAAAGCATCGAACGTGTTGCCACCGGAAAGAAAAGAACAGAGAAAAGTTTTTCAATTAAAAATTTCATGCAAATATTTAAATGTTTGCAATTGTAATATGTATTTTTGTGTTTGCATAATTTTTCAATGTTTGTAGTTATTAATTCATTTGCAATGCGGCACGATACTTGAGCATCCATATGGAGCCAATAGGAGATTATTGTAATTATGCCATGCGAAAACAAACATGGAGGCAAACAAAATTCCCGTCAACACTCATACATACCAAAAGGAGAAAGCCACCTAGAGCCAGGCAAAAGACCAATGGTCCGGCCATATCAGTATCCTGTAGTATGGCTTGATCTGTGGCGCGCATGGGATTCAAGACAGCCAGAGTCTGTAAAATAGAAAGCAAATCATTTATGGTTAATTTGTGTGTATACGAATATTTATGCAATGGAACTATATTTTGTATAGATATGGTAAACTTTTTTTTTTAATTTTGCTTTATTAGCAATTTTCCAAATAAAAGTTCTTTCATTTTTAACCTCTGCCA